TATGTCGAAATTTGAATTTTAAATCTACATCATATGAGATGCTATAGACTTTCTGGTAACATAAAAAACATCTCACGTCAAACACCTCAATGTTTGCACTTGTATATTTTTTTGTATAATTCGAGTTTAAAATTTAACAGTATAACAATTATTATCAAATATATTATTAAATATTTAACAACATCAAGCATAAATCAGATAATATGCAACAAAATTTGAAAACTTCTAAGAACATTGCGTAAATTATTTTTACTATATACATAGGAAATATCATAAAATGTATATGTACAAAAAATAGGTGCGTTCTATAAGCATGCTAATTTTTATGTGATTCATGAAATATATTTAATTGTATAATATTATTTAAAGTATACCATTACCCAGAAATTCAAGGATATGTTAACAAATTATATTGTTGAGTTTAGATTAATAAAAATGCGCGAATAATCAGTGACATCCAAAATTCACTGAAAAAAGTTTTATTGCATTCTAATTGCAGTATTAACACTATATAGCAAAACTTTAAAAACGCCTTTACTGTGGTCTCGATTTTTTCACTGCACTGTTTGCTTTCTTACTGCATATTTTAAACCCGTTTTTGTCTTTTAATTTAGATCTTTGAACATTGTATAAATTTTTTGTTCTACATAATATGGATCAAAGCTACATTGTGATACTGCACATTAATACTGCATTTTGGATGTAAGGTAATGTTTCAAAAATAATTGTATCGACAAAAATGAATCTCTATTTTCCAATTTCCAGCAATTTAGAAATATGTTCAACTACAAAAGATTTTTTTTTTTTAAATAATTGATTTTTTTATTTTGTTTATTAGGAATAACTTTTAAAAATAAAGACGTATTCAGTAGTATACTTTTCCATATTTAATAATTGACAGGTGTCAATAGTCGTAAATCATTCTATAGGATCAAAAATACAAATGGCGGCAAATTGTATACATTCATTCAAATTAATTTTTCAAATTGAAAATTCAAGAAAATAGAAAATAGAAATAAATTTTTTTTTAAATAAATAATTAAATAAAATTTTCAGCTACTGAGACCTTTAAAGCTAGTAGTAAATTCTATTTAACTTTGTCCTTATCTTCAACATCTAAATATAAGTAAATCTATATGACACGAATGTGTTAGAATAAAATTCTAACACATTTCCATTTGCATATTCCACTCGTCTTTAAAATATTGTTTCGAAAATTTAATCTTTATAAAATTCACTAAATAAAAACACAAAAATAATTTTTGGTTCAGATTTCTTGTTTTATTAATTTTGACATATTATTTCTATAATGTTTTGCCATTGTTGAAGGAAAATTATTGTTTAATATTGTATTTCTTCAGTTTTCTTTTATCTTTAATAATTGAAATATTTTGTTGTATGTCACTCAAATTTTTATTGCTACTGACAATTTTGACATTTTTATAAATTAATACACGCCTACATCTCTATTACGAGTACTACATGGTATATTTGGAATTTTTTTTGTGTTGCTTTATCGTTATTTTATCGGTTCTATTTTATCAAATTTTGCCACACGTTATGTTTCAAAAAGAAAATACAAAATACAAAACAAACTCAAGGAAAAAGGGATAAATGAATATTTAACGCTTAATAGAGCAGTTAAACTCGTAATTTTATGTTTCCTTTTTGTAGTTACGTTTTTGATTAAAATAATAATTTTTTTTTTACTTGAGTAAATGATGATTAGATTTCTCTTCTTCTATATTTGTTTTTTTTTTTTTTGTAAAAATTGATGTTCGGAAAATGATAAGAGCTGACTGACTATACACAAAAATAAATTTATGTATATAATAATTATTTTAATATTGCGTTTACATAAATGTACTTCAGCAGTATTCCATTTGTGATTGCTTTTGATTATATTTCTATGATTTCTTTTAATGAACAACATTTTGAACAAAATTCTGAAATTGAAAAGCGAATCTAAATGGTGCAAAAATATTAATTTGTTAAATCACAAATTTGTTCCAAAAATTAAGTGAAAATGTCACTGGGACTGGTGATTCCGGCTGGGAAGAAACTATGCTACTCAAAATGGAATTTATAAAATTATCATTACCGACCGCACTGCATATAGTAAAGGAGGTGATGTGATCATCACCTCCTTTACTATATGCATGAAATTAGTCGAATATTCGGAACACATTTCTCCATGACAGAGATGCGTAAATAAAATACTTTTAGAAAGATGTCGGTCTTCCGGTCTGTCATAACTCGTACACTCTCATGGTGTTTAAATTTTAGAGCATAATATTAAAGAAAATTTAAAATAAATAAAAACTAACGTGGTTGAAAATGCAATGAATTCAACTTAAAATTATTATTTTATTGGTGATGTTATTTCGTGAGCCTATGTTTATGCAATGCAATTTTTAAGTTGAATAAAATTAATAAAAAAAAATCTGATGTGGTCAGCACATAACCGACCGCATTGTGTATTGTCTAGTTAAATGAAAGTGTTACAGAATATTATAAAAATGTCTGTTAAATACTTCTTTCCAATTTTTAGGACATTAGTAAGCTTATAGTTAACATACTTAGAAAAATGTAAATTTGGCTCTTAGTAGAGTTTCGCTTACTACCCGAATTCCCGAATACTCGCCAGTTAGTTTCGGTAACAACCAGAACTCAAATATCAAATTTCAAGAAATTCCATCAATTTGCTCTGGGAATATGGTGAAAAATGTAAAATCGGCCCGCAAATCAGTTCTCGAGCCCTGATCTTTCCAAAAAATTTATATGTTCATTGCTTTAATATGAGGAATTCATATATTAAATTTCAATGAAATCGGTTGATTATTTGTCTTTATATACACAAAAATGTATATTTAGCCCGTAGTAAACACCTAGTTGCTGATGCCTGATTTCTTCCAAAAGTTAGGAATTTTTGCGTATGATCGAGCAAAGCTTATATATGAAATTTTAAGTAAATCGGTTGAATATTTTGTTCAAAATGTTCAAAAATGTAAAACAGGCCCGCTAAAAAGTGCAGTTCCCGAGGCCTGATATATACCAAAAGTTGATCGATCCGTGCCATGGTGGAAACAAACTTACATATAAAATTTCATCAAAATCGGTTCAGCCGAACTTGAGATACACGCGTGCACACACAGACCGACAGACCGACAGACCGACAGACCGACAGACCGACAGGTTGCTAAAAATAGTTTATTTACACTTCCCTACTATGGAGAAGTACGTTCCCACCGAAAACTCGATATGCAAAATTTGTTGCCATCACATAACCTACCTATTGTTTACACAATACGGTCGGTAATAATTTCTTTATTTAATATTGTTTACTGGTTTTTTTCATAATAGAATAAAATTTAATATATTTCCAAAATTATAATGATAAAATGAAGGAATGTGAAAGAATGAGTACATAAGATATAATATACGATATAAAAATTGAATAGATCTTCATTGTATTTCATGCCGTCTCTTAATGTGATTCGTGAATAGCTTAAGGTTAAGAAAAAATATTAGTGTTGCAAATATTTAATTTCTTTGTGAAAACTGGGGGAAAAATACAAAAAAAGCATTTTTCGCTTTTTCGATATTTTTAGAAAATAAAGGAAGCAGCTTTTGTAAATTAAAAATTTGAAATTTGTTTCCAATCGGAGGCAAACCTTTATTTTAAGGTTTATGTTCATAGAGTGAATACTTTAATAACATAGTAAATATTTTATAAATTAATTTAATAACAATACGTCATTTGCTTACATTTAGAATATCTTGTATCTCTCTTGTGTTATCTCTTGTAGTCAAGAAGATGTGAATCTCTTGTATGGCTTGTTTCTTTTGAATAATGGTTGTATTTAAATCCACACCGCCGCAATAGTAATTGCAAAGTTCAAAATCTTTAAAATATTGCTAGAACTTGAGAATAAGGGTATGTATTTTGGAATAACACTAATTTTTCGATAAAACCTTTATTCTTTCATGAGATGCAAAAGTTTAAAAACCCCTTAAAACTCTTTTTTTAGGAATTGGTTATAAAGTTACGGTCCAAATAAAATTTGTTTTAAATTGTTTTCAATGAATGAACAATTAAAAAACAGTCGAGAAAGAAAACATCTTAGTTACTACAAAATCAAACAGAAAACAAAAGACCAGAGATTCAATTTAATAAAAAGAGTTCAGAAATCACAGATAATATTTGTATTGTATAGAAGAAAAAATGTTTCAATTTTGAAAATTAATTTTTTCGAAATTACATTTTTAATTTTATATTCGAATTTTTGGAAACAAAATTTAATTAAATATAAAATTCGGAAATTGTATTTAGTGTTGTAATGTAGCATATAAAGCTATGAGCCTAAGACTATGAGCTCTGGGTGAGTATGATTTGGTTGCAAATGAATGAGAAATTCTCCTTTATAAATCTACATTTCTGTTTTATCTACGTTATCGCGTTTATAATTTGCGGAACTGTTTACAGAACTTATAAATAAACGAGTTCAATTAGAAGCAGAAAATTTTGTTCTAAAGAATTGATAATTGAGTTTTAGATGAAATTAAAACAATTTTTGTACTACAAGAGTTTTTTTCTTACTTATAAGTAAGACCTCAATAAAAATGAAAAAGAGGTAAATGTGGCAAATTCATTTTCCTTTATAAAAAGTTTCTATTTTTAACCGTCTTTTGCTTATAAGCGTGTATATTACAAAACAAAAAATATGAAAAATGTGTAAAACCAATCGAGTTGCTCATATAGGAGTCTGACTATTTGAATGAATAACGATGCAATTAAGATTGAACACAATTAAATGCTTGTAAATTGCACATGATTTCTTACTGAGAAGAAAAGTTGATAGTAATTGAAAATTTTACAAATTTTTTTAGTGTTAATTTATTCAACTATAAGTTTAATTAATTCTGTATCATTTAAAATATTAAAATTATAAATAAACAATAATTTGAATTTAAATTTCCTTTTAATTTTTTCATTACAGTGAAGAATTGCATAATTCACTACAGCAAATACAAATTTATTTTCATCAAAAAGTTATAATAACGGCTTCAAAACGACGACTACATTGTTGCAACATTTCAAGGAAGTGGTTACGACGAAATTCTCTAGTCGTGACCACCACCACTATCCACAACAAGCAGGAGTACATCAGGTAATTCACCAGCATCAACAAAATTTTTCCGCTATATTTCCACCATATCTTAGTATGGAAAGAGGTGGTCTAATTGAAAATATGACGGATTCTGGTTTATGTCTACAAGATCTAGTTGGTGGTGGTGGTAATAGTTCGTCACCTGGAAATCAAGTTTCTGGTAATAATCCACAAAATAATAACAATAATAGTTCTAATGAAAATGGTAATACAACACCAAATGGAAATAATAATGCTGGTAATAATAGTGGTAATACAAATGGACCTGGTACAGGCAGTAGTACTGGTGGCAATAATAATACTCTGACAAATCATTTACATAATCATCATAGTTTACATGATTCAACTGGTGGTGGTGGAGAAAATGGTTCACCATCAATTAGTAGTTTAATGCCAGTTGGTTCTAGTCCGAATACTGGTCCTTTAAGTCAGTTACATCATGGTGCACATGATTTAGGAAGTCATCATTTACATCATCATGCTGTTTCATCGCATAGTGCAACAACTGTTTTACATGAACCATTGGAAAAATTAAAAAGTAAGTTTTTTTTATTATGCTTTTGTAAAAATTTTTAATTCATACAGTTACAACGAGTACTATGTGGGAAAAGAGTTAATGATCAAAAGTAGGTAATAGGATAGACAAATTCGTTTATAAGTGTTAGCAAAGAGCGTATCGCAGTTTCAAATAAATTTACAATTTTGTAATTCGACCGGAGTTTTCAATTCGAATGCTAATCAAATTAATAAATTAAAAATCACATTCGCTGGAAAGTTTACATAATTTCTTGTTAAACATTAAAAATATTGCACCGTGTGTGTGGTAATTTTTCTCTTTAAACTTAATCGTCAAAGGGAAGAGCAAAGAATGACTGGGATAGAAATAGTAGACAAGGAGAAATTATTTAATATCACATCTAATTATAGATTTACGAATGATTATAATATATTTACGCATAAATCGCCTCACGGCGAAAAACAGTTTAGACTTTAAATTAACCACGCCCTCTTAAACGAAATATTTCATGTTCCGAATAAAAGCTGTAATTTTTTCAATTAGATTTTCATTTTATCTATAAGACTTTTCATTCTTTCTTTTGAAAAGTTTAAAAAAATCAATTAAACTTGTCATCCTCTCTATAAGTTAAAACGAGTAGATTTCACATTTATCACTTGGATTTCATAATTGGAAAAACAAAGATATACTCGTAGTTGAATAATAAAATCCTTATTCATTTCTTCTCAGCTGATGAGTTTAAGATTTGAAGACAGAATGTAAGGTTTAGATATTTTCTATATAATCAAATGCTGAAGAATTTTTAGAAAACCATGTTCTCTATTATTTCATCAAATATTTCGAATTCACGAGAAATTCGAAAGAAAATGATTGTTCAGAGTATACCTAAGGTATATGGTACTTGCACTATGCATGTACATGTATATAATGTAATGTTGATTTGTATACATATGCCATGGATTCCAAAAAAATAATTGAAGTTCTTTTTTTTTTCTTTTGATTGCGTAGGTTTGAGAACCTAAACGAAATTTCCCTTTCAAATCATAATTTTAAGGGTAAAATAATATAAAGGATATTTTTAATGAAATTTATGCATAGATTTGCATTTCATCCATCCTTTTAGGAATTCCTTATAATTTTTTTTTAATTTTTATTTTCATATTTCTTTTTTTATACTTTATAATTTAAAAACTTTTTCTTTTGGATTTAAATTATTTTATATATTTATTCAAGAAAAACAAAAAAATAAAAACTGAAATGAAAGAAAATTTTTTTTTGATATTCCAGACAACTGGACAGATCAAGTGACTTTTATAATATTATACATAAATGTGTGTACAATTTTTTTTTTCTGTATATTTATTCAAAAGTCCTTTTCTGCAAAATTGAAAAATAGAAACATACATACATCCTATGTATGTATAATATTTAAAGTCTTAAATATCAAAAGGGACAAAATAAATTAAGGAAGAAGAGAAACAAAAAAAAAGATATTTCCAAAAGAAAAACAGGATTCAGAGTTCTTTTGAATTAGAATAAAATATAATATAGATACAACAAGATGTTGAGAAGAACAAGGACATGTTATAAGAAATTGGAGAAGAAATGAAAAATATTCCAACAGAGTTTTTCAGTCTCTGATCTGAATTTCATTAATTTTCATATATATATATATATAAGAATTACATTATATACAATATAATCTTTATGTATGTGTATATATATAAGTATAATAACATATTAATGTACATAATATCATGCGGTAACATTAAGGATTAGTATTGCACATACATATACTCTAATATATATAACAACATTAGTAGATTAATATAGAAAGAAAAAAATTCTTATTATTGGTTACATAATATACTATATATATAAGTAGGAGTTTTGTTACATTTCACTAAAAATAATATTATTTACACTTATGAAAATCTTCCAATTCACAACAGGTATAAATATAGCCGAACATTATGTTCTTAAATTAATTTGTTTATAAGGACTATTAAGATTATCTATATAGGACTGGTTCTCTTTTATTTATTAAAATATTGAGTAAATTCATATATAATACAAACATAATGAATTGTACACGTACTTGTAAATTATTATGTAATTTTGTAATTATATAAACAGGCAATTTTCTCTTAATATATAATATAGTAGATGTAAATAAAATTCTCTGAGAAAAAGAAAAATGCATATATATAGGATAAAATAATTAATAAAAATGAAATTGCTGATATCTTAGAATTTTTAGATTTTCATTATATTTGTAATGTGAAATATACGAGTAGTTATGATTAGCTAATTGAATTTTTTGCAATTGCAATAAAAAGCTAGGTTCTTACGAGTAATGTTAAAATATTGTAAATTTTTTTATTTTTAAATCTGTTTATATCCGATATTCTATAAAAAGACTCATGACTTGCATGACATTAATTGTTATAAAACAGTTATTCAATGTCACTTCCGCGTACGTTGACAACTCGTTAATGATGTAAGGATTTTACAATTAATATGAATCCGTTTTATTACATACTTCAGAATCGATACAGATTCCGTTGGTGCTACAGGATCATTGCCGGTTTAAAAAATTTCGATATTTCTTGTAAATATTTTAAAACACTGATAGCTCTAAGGGTAATCTAAGAGAATTTTCTTAAAAATCTGAATGAATTGAAATTGAAATTGAAAATTTATACATTACATTTGTTAATTATTGCATCATGAAAGACTAAAGTAAAAGTATTTTAAGTGTGTGTATGAGTTTCTGTATAATTTATCGACTATAGTTTTTATGAATAGAATTTGTTTTGATATTAAAAAATTTTATTTTAAAAATTTTATTTCCGTAATCTCTTAATTTTACATAGCCCTTAATGTGGAAAATTAAAAATATTAAATTTAGATTTGAATTTTTGTGCACAATTCTCAAAAATAATTCCGTTTCGGAGTATAAAATTATTTGAATAAAAAAAACTTCAAAACAAAAAATAGCCAAAAGAACATCCTTTTTAGCCAAAAAAAAAAAACGCAAGGAATTTTTTAGAAGTTTCAAATTTTTGATTATATTTTTTATGTAGGAAGCATAAAATTTGTCGGTTCGCTAAGAACACTTACATAATTTTTCAGACAGTGTAAGATACTCTCGATAATGCCAAGGCGAACTCTGTACATCGTTATTCATACTTATACCAACCCTTTGAATTCTTAATTGTTTTGAACAGTTGAAATTTGTAAAATCATTTTATAGTTATTAATCGTATAAGTCACTCAAAACTCACTTGTAAATTCATTTGAACCATAGAAGTAGTACAAATATTTTACACTTATGTTGGCAAAGAACCAAATCTAATTATTTTGTTATTTTCTTAGAAGCACTAAATTAAGGCTATTATGATGATGCTCTCTGTATTACAAAAATGAATGCATCTCCGATTTTGTATCAATAATTTTAATTCTGATTGCATGAAATTTTTTTTTTTGAAACAGTTTTTTGCAAAAATTGTGAAAATTAAGAATGAGGAAAAAACAAAAAAAAAAAAAAATTAATAGGTTTTGTAATAATTTTATACAATTCGAGCTAATCAATCAATTTAAGAGAAGGGAGAAAAACCGTATATAGAAAAACCGTAGGCAACAAGTGTAAAAGGTCTCATATGTTTTTCTTTCTATTATGTAAAAATATTAATACCCATTTCGAACCTTTCACTTAAGCGGAAATTTTTTGTTTTTTTATTTTGTGTTTTGTTTATCATTCTCTTTTTTTTTCTTTTTATACATAAATAATATTAAAATTTTATTTTTCGTTGATTTTTCGTATCTAAAAAGAAGCGACAATGCGAAAATTTATATAAAAATTCTCTGGTCTCTTGATTATTTTAATAATAGACGCATATTTTTTTAAGGGGTAGGTAGTTTGAATTCCAAAAACAAAATGGAATATGTTTTTGAACATTAAAATTTTTTTTCGGGTAAAATTTTATAGTGTCTCAGCTGATATTGCATGAAAAGGCAGAATCATTTTTCCCATAAAACAGAAATGACAAAATCGAAGAAAAAATGAAAATATGAATTTTAATAAAAAAAAAAAATTAAAGCAAATTTAAAATTATATTTAAAGTCGTTTGGAAATGTTGAAGTTCAAAATTATATTGGGGGCTATATAGAAAATAGATGCAATTTGAGAAATTTTTAATATCCTAACGAAATACAAGTGTTTTTTTACTGTAAATAAACTTAGTAATTATATGTAACCCGCTTACAAATATTAAGACCGGAATCAAAGATCAAATTTGAAGTTTTAAATCAATTGTTCAAAGAAATTCTAAATTGAACATCGCTCAATTTACAAATTTATTCCTTGAATCCGTCTTAAATCAGAGAGATTTGAAATACAAAAAAAGAAAGTTAAACATTTTGAAATTATAAATTTGCTAAGCAAACAATTGATTATGATTATTCTTACTATTCGAATTAGACTTACAGAAATTGTTATAATAGTTCCTAATCAAAGAAACTTCTGTGTATACTTGCATAATACTATCAACTTATAAATGCGTTGCAATAAAATTTTTACTGCACAATAAAAAACAAAAAAAATGGTTTTTTTTCCAAACCAAAATTTACAATAGTAGAGCTTCTTCACAAGTATATTAGTCTATATGGCACTTATTTAGAATAGTTAAAGCTAAATGTATAAAAAAAATGGCAATAAAAGAAATGATAAGGTTAAAATAAAATTATTGATAATTTTTTTTTATTTTATGAACTTTGAATTCAAATGAATTTTTTAAAAGCAACAATTTTATTTTACATTTTATTTTCTAAGGTCGGTCGATCTAATTTTGTTGCCAATGATTTATCAAACAGTCGTCTAAATATTTAGATTTCTGTCATATAGTATATAAATATAATAAATTTGATTCAACACAATAATTGATAATTATTTATTAACAACTAAGAACAGAATAAATTGAAATGCTAAGGCATAATGTTAAAAAAAAAAAAAAAATTTA